GGTATTCAATTGCCTCTCCTACCTCCACCAATTGCCTTAGAGGGTAAACGTGGACGTAGATGATGTGTCCGTTGGTCTCATCGTCAGAGTCAAATACTATAGAAACAGCCAGTGGTGAGAGTGTGAGGAGGGAGGAGGGGTATCGCAATGGAGGAACCTCCTAAGATCCTAAGGCTGATGGTGGAGAGGGTCACATCTACCCAATGGAGGAAGGATCGCAAATTTTCTGGGAAATGCGAACTGGACGGTTAATCCTGCGTGGGCGAGGCGTTTGGGAGAGATTCTTAGGGAACGTGCGCTATCTCCCTTGACAATGAGTACATAGGAACAGATGTGTTCGTAAAACATGGTTACTGATGAGCTTGGAATGATGTCCTTCCGGCCATGCTCAACTGGAGTCAAGTGAGATGATAAGGAAGTTTCCGAATTGGACAACCCTCCCCCCCCCCCCCCATCATCTAACCTCCCCCTTTTAGCACTTTTCTGTTATCCCTTCACCTTCCTTATTTCTCACTTTCACTTCTTTCTTTTTTCGAAGTAGTGGCAGTATTTTGATTCTTCAAAAATCCCACCATCCTCGCAAAAACTCACTATTCAACGTTTCAATAATAATCCCCCTTAGATGCCATTTGATTCTTCTCATAGATGACGTGCGACCTTGCTGATGAGGCTTTCTCGACCCTGCCTACATCTGCAAGGAGGGGGGGAGAGAGGCCAAAAAAGCGATTATTTTCCCCATGGCACACACAGCAAACATTTCCTCGCACAAGGTGCCGTCAATGATGGAAAATTTGAGGCAAAATTTTCTCAGATGTACTCCCATATGCAGAAGCAGGCCCTCATTCACGCTCTCACCGCCTTCAGGGTATGACGTCATATGCCACCGTCATCGAGCTTAAAGAGGCCCATTGTTTCACCCTGGAACAGCTACTCTATTTCCTCGGATCAATTAAGAAGTAACAGTTTCTCAGAGACAGTAGCTCTACCCACACAAGCCCTTCTTTCACCTGCGTCTCGGATAAGCTTGTATGTGTTCTCCATAATTTGCCGAATTGCTGAGCTCAAACCGTGCAAAGGTTCCCATGGAATTGTTCCGATGTGGCTGGTGAAGAAAGCTTCTACGTAGTTTTTTGATAGATTGGAATGTGGTCTTCGATTTTCAGTTGGGAGCATTCGGTTTGAATTGAGAAAAAATTGGTGATCCTGTTTTGAATTTGGAATCAGCATGACTTCTTTCTCATCTCCCTACCCCCTCCCCCTGTACATGATCTTTTTGGGCAACGTAGGAGGTGCTTGTTGAAGAGCATCAGAGTGTTCGGAGCAGGGTCAACCGTCCGTTGGACAAAGTCCAACGCGACGACGAGAGTAATGCCGAGAGTGAACGTACGCACGGAGACACAGACGGCTCGCGGGTGGCGAGAGTGAATGCCGGCGCGGAGAGCGGTCAACATCGGTCCAACGTCGCTCCAATATCGGTCCAACGTAACGGTTGACCCTGCTTCGGAGCACTGCCGTAGGGACCGCATACTGCGAGTCGCCTGTCTAACCATAAGCGCTGCCACACCCTCGTCTCTATGGTTGGGACGGCGGGACATTTCACTAACACAAACTTTGTTTCCGAGCACCCGAATGGAACCCTACTCTTAGAGATGCTTGTCATGATTGTCCAGGATGTTACCGAGCGATGAATTCAAGTCGATTTTTTTTCAGGATGCTTTCAAGTGTTCAAAGTGTCGTTGTCCACCCTGCAAGAGGAGGACTTGAGCCGAAATTTGAAGCCGGTGAAGAAATACGGCAATAACGTGTTTGCACCACGTGGGAACTCGCCCAAACTCACCGAGAAAGTCATCGAAAGTATGCCGGCCAACGCGGATCCTCGAGTAAAAGTAGCCTTGTTTTAAATATTCGCTTCTTTATTTTGAGAGACAACGCTTGCGTCGTTCTTTTCAGACATTTCATTTTTATTTGTTATAGAAATCTTTATTTCTTTTGTTCATTTGTCAAATATTTTGTTAATTTTTATGTTTTTACCGAAATTGTTTCTCGTAGGAAAAGTCATTTGCAGAAATCTTTTGTAACTTCATCTAAACATAAAATTTCAGGAAAATATCCTCAACAATAATTACTTTTTGAAACGAGTAGACGCTGATGATGGATCGATATTCACGGATGATCTGCAGGATCTTCTACCGCAGAACATTCAGCATGTACAGGTCAGCACTCAGCGCTCAGTATTACGACAGCTGGCTTCCTTTTTGGCTTCCTGTCAACCTTTGATCAAAATCTACATTTCTTTTCCAATTTTTTAAATTCTCCTCTATCAAAATTTCCAGACAGAACCCTCGGTATCGATAGGAAGATTCGTTGCAGTGTATTTGATAATTCTACTGATTGTTGTCGGAATTCTTGTCGGTATTCTTGGTACCTGTTCTGTGCTGGTGTTCGTCGACTACAAAAATAACCCGAAATTTGACACGTAAGTTTCTCAAGAGGGTTAAAAGTAAGACCTGGGTCAAATACTTATTGTCACTGAGAGGGACATCCCATAGATTTCATAAATGTGTGCCACTGACCAGATATGGCCTATAAATGACTTCCATAGATGTTGTTGTTAAAGCGGTGAAGAGAATATTCGAAAACCTGAGAACCGTTAAGCACAATAAGCACGCGATCGTGTGGGCGGGCTTTTCGCGTAATACGACCGCCCTATCTTCTTATTGCTGCTCCGTTGTCTTGAATACGGGTACCTTCGTAGGTAGAGTCCCGACCATTACCGAGAGGGGGTGGGCGCAGTACTATTGGATCAGCGCGCGACGTGATTTTAACAGTTTCCATAGCTTCTAAGCTTTTTTCATTACTTGTTAACTAGCTGCAACGTTTATTTTTATTTTGCGTGTGCATCAAACCTCCCAGAAAATGATGTAATGGCGCGTCTCCATGTTTAAGCTTTGAAATAAGCAATCGGCTACGTTATGTTGAATATTCCACGAGTTCACGGCCTAGCCAAATAGCCGAATTTTGAAAATTTAGGGTTTCTTCCTACAGATTTCTGCACTGATATTATCTCTTCAGGTCGGGAGTTGTCACTTACACTAGGCGCCGAAATTTTGAGAAACTTTATGTGGACGCAAAACAGAGAGAGCGGCTTGAACGGCAACGAAGGCAGGCTGGTAAGACACTGTTCAATAATCTCTGACAAATAACCGAATAGCGAGAGTTAGGGTGAGTGGACCCAGCGGCATAGCCGCATGCGCATCGTTTATTCAAAATCGTGGAGGTGGTTGGAAAGGGATCGGGACGAAAATGAGCTAGTAAGCGGTCGAAAACTCCTCGAAAGGGTCGTGTCTGTCTCAGAGGAACGAATGGAGAGATCAGCCATACTTTGATCTTAAAGTGCCACTTTAGCAATACCCTTTGTAACCCGGGGGGGGGGTGATAGTGTCCGCCAAGGAATTTCTACAGACTACTATCACTACCACAACTACAGGCTCCACAGCATAAGTGACGACCGCCTCCAAGTAAATCTGGATAAGTAGCAGTTTATAGTGAAGCTGATAGATGATAAGATTGTGGTTGTAATTAGTGACAATTGATGGAATGCAACTGCAAAGCTAGTCATTCCATTGGCAGAAGACTATTACATTTTGTGAAAGCCGTCTTTTTTGTTGTGAAGTCTGCAATAGAAATCCACTTGGGCGCCGGATGCAATGTGTGCATGCACACCCTCTATCTCACCGGCAATTTTTTGGACTTTCGGAAGCGCGATAGGGATTATGTCAAGTGTCACCAAATCCTGCAGCACCGTCGACGCTATGAACCCTCTCTAGCCGCGTTCATAGTCTGCGCCTCCGCATAGTAGGATAGTAGGCGACAGTGAAATTGATACGTATTGTCAGAGAAAGTAGGATGTAAGAGAGCAGAATTGTTCGCTGGAAAAATATATGCATATCGATTGAAATCGCTTGAGAGTAGTAGACTACGAGCTTTGGAAGAAGGATAGTAGTAGATTAGGAATAGTGCGCTGACAAGATTAGATATGTATTGATCTATTCGCTTGAAGTCGCCTAATCTACTACTCTCCAGCGATTTCAATCGATACGTATCCAATCTTGTCAGCGCAATCTCCTACTCTACTACTATGTATCCTAATATCCTATCGCCTACTATCCTAATCTCTCAAGTCGCGAACTATGAACGTGGCTTCAGAGTTGGAGTTGGGATTATATAAGGGTGGAAGCTGAGAGAAAGGGCCGCTTGCTCGAAATTTTCTTGACATGTCGCTGGCTGTTCTTCTGAGATGCGGGGTTTGTAACATTCAATCGATCTTACTGCACAGCTCGGGTATTTCGGGTTAATTTTGGTCATGTGGCACGTATGGGTGCCACAAGATCATAACATCAGGTGAATTCAAAATTAGGTTTCCTAGAGATTCTTACATCGAATTTTAGAGAAATTTGTCGTTATTTCAGCGCAGTCACGAACTCCTCTGCCAGTGCCGGGACGAGTTTCGCGTACCAGCCGCGAAAGTGAACTGATGCGATCGTCCAGAGAGGCCACCGAAAGCTTACGGGCGGATCGGAAAAACTCCTACTAGTTCATACATATCCGCATAGTGATTGTTTGAATTCGTCAGCTCTACCTCATTCATTTATAGACGGTTATCGATATTTTTGTACAAAAAAGTCATCCTTTCCATTCCCTCGACAGAATGATGCCCAAAGGGCATGTTGACCTTTGAGTATCGTCCCCGTCCGTTAACTAGTCAGTGCTCATTCGTTGTATATATAATAGATATGGTAAAGTGCAGGGTCATACATCGTGCCGTTTCATTTATTCAGTCACTTCGTTCGTTCAGGTAGCACCAGGCGGTTGAATTTGTGCCGAGTAGCGTCTATGTGTTTTCAGAAGAGAATAAAAATACAGCTCAACTTCGCTTTTCGACGTCGAGCGCACTACTCAAACTTCTTGCCTATTACTTTCAGATCTCTGCCTTCATTCTGAATAGCTTTGCCCTATTTCACCTCCGCCGTGGCTTGTATCCTAAGGGTCAATGTCATAGTTTGCGAGCCAAGCGATTCGCTAGCGAATCGCTGGATCTGAGCGTTGCACCAGCGAATCGACCGACCGAACACTGTTTGAAAGTGGCGGGACCCAACGTTTAAAGGAAGGCCCGCCACTTTCAAACAGTGTGTCCTTTGAAGTGGACTTTTTAAACGTTGGGTCCCGCCACTTTCAAACAGTGTTGAGTCGCTGGTACATAGTTCGACTCGCTGGTGCATCGGTCGATTCGCTGGCGCAAAGTTCGATTCGCTGGCGCAACGCTTTCATCTAGCGAGTCGCTCGATTCGCAAATATGACATCGGCCAAATGAGGCCTCACAGCTACAGTATCCTTCCATGAACATTTTCTGTAGATATTTTCACAATCAGCGATTTTAGAAAACAGGAAAACCCGCGTAAAGTTTGCTACTCCACTGAGAGCATGTTTTAGTTTATCAGATGCGCAGTAGATAGATCTAGAAGCAGGTGACAGGTGGTCAGTGGTGAAGGGTTAGAAACAAAACTATGAGAAACGGAACTCAGTATCAATGTGTAGCTCTGCCCACAACTCAGCATTCTTGTGATAGCAACATACAAAGTTTCACGCACGAAGATTCAGTTTCCGAAAATAAACAAACTCACGAAGTCCACACTCCATGGACGGTCGAAGGATAGGTGGGACGGGACGCATGGAAAGAAAGAAAAGGTGAAAAAGGTGTGCCCGGGGAAAGCTAAGTAATTAGGCGACACACTGAAGTGAATCTAATGAAAGCGTTTGTTTTAGGAGAATTGAGAAAAAAAAACGATTGACAGAATAGGATGCAGTAGAAGTGTGAGATGTTAGTGCAATAAGTCAAAAGGTCAGAAAAGAGTTCTAGTGAGGCACTCCGAGAACCAAGTGGAAGCATTCCCGTCGCCAGCATTTGTGACAGATGTCCGGCGGTAATTTGAACGCGTAGCAGCCCTTTCGGTTTTTCGAATTTTTTACCAAAACAAATGCAATTTTTTGTTCTTTTCGTTCTTATCGTGAATATGATGGGTCTCAAGCCAGTGATTTATGGGCGCGTTAGAATCATGATTTTTCCGGGAGGGATTCCTTTATTTTCCCACTGCCCACCTCGTCTTTCCATGTCGATAACCGCCTATACATCGATGTTGGCCATAAAATTATATAAAAAGTCGAAAATATCTAATACAATGGTCGTACTGAAACTCTCTGAAGGGAGGGGTCGTAAAAATTTTGGAATCAGCGCAACGCATGGTTAAGCTCCGTGGTTCTGGAGCCGGAGGCGACATTCGATCCCAGACCATGCGAGCGGTCTAGCGATCGAATCTCGCCCAGTCTGCGACGAAAGAATTTGCCTCCTGTATCACCTGTCGTCCCCTGATCGTCGATTTGCTCGAGCGGGCGCCAGCAACGTCTCCATTCGTCCCTGTCGCGTGCTAGAGTGGTCCAGTGGATCCTCCTCGCTCGAGGGACACGAAGTCCTTCATTCCTTTCGTTCAGAGCTTTCGTGAAGAAGTCTGACCATCGGGCCGGCGGTCGTCCAGGTGTTCGTTTGACGTCCCGAGGGATCCAGTCGGTAACCGCTCTGGTCCAACGGTCATCGCAAAATCGCATGACGTGTCCGGCCCACCTTATCTTCGATTCCTTGGCGAAAACGGCAGCGTCCCTGATCTTCGATCGTTGGCGTAGTTCGGAACTCCGGATTCCCCTCTGCACTTGCGTGTATAGGGTTACTCCTAGCATCGTCCTCTCGACAGCGCGTTGGATAACGCTGACCGCATGCTCGTCCTGCCTGCGCAGAGTCCAAGTCTCTGAGGCGTAGGTTAGGGCAGGAAGGACAGCGGAATCGAAGAGGTGGGCACCAGAGGGGACAAAACCTCGTCGTCGGCCGGGATCGCTGCACTCGGCCTCGTGCTGGAGCCCAGTGATTGGTGTCTCTCAATCGTATTCACCTTTCTCAGCTTGTGATGTGCCTCTCCCACATGCTTGTCAATTCTCATAGGCGCCTTTATCGCAGAAGAATTGAAAATGAACAAATCGGAAGTGTAGCGCAAAACCAAATAATTAATAGATTTGTTAGGCCACCGCGCTCACTCCTATGTGTTTTGGGAGATCGAAAGATAAAACTCTAGTGGAAGGACATGTTTTGATAATTGGTGGGATAAGAAATTGTGCGGTACAGCGGGCAGGAGCGGATACTATTGGCTGATTCAGCTGGAGAGCGGGAAGAGATTAGATTCAGCTGGAAAAAAATTAGATATGTGTTGGGGAAATTCTTTCAATTGTCGTACGCTGAACTTTTTTGGTTACTATCGCCTGGAAATTCAGACAAGTGGGAACTTCTTCTGAAAGTATGAGACTTATGTACCTATGCGTGAATGATTCGAATAGGAGCTAAGTTATCGGGCTACGCACTTGTGTTGCCATTGATAGGAGGAAAGGACGAAGGTATGGGCTGTTCAAGAAGTTCTACCGTTTTTATTCGTTTTAAATACTTCATTTCTTAAACACCTGAAGAAACTGCTAGCACTTTATACATAAGCAGAAAGCGCGTTTCTCGCTCTATCTGATGCTGTAATTTTGAACCGAGAGCGCTTCCCCCCCCTCACTTGGATACAACATTCTAAACAGGCTGTTTTCCACGAGTTTCTCGTTTCCTAAATTTTGTTGGAATTGAATGGAGGGAACTCGCTATATCATCCAAGCATTTGAACCCAAACCTACAAAGGATATGCTGTCAATCGTGATTCGAAATTGCTTTCTCGCGATAAGCTTTGAAGAAGATTAGGTGAAGCTCGAATGCGGAGACTGACAAAGATTAAGTGAGGGTTTTGACCAGACCAAATCTGCATGGAACTGTTGGAACAAGGCCGCTTCTAATCAGACGTGACTGAGATGGGGTTCCCGAACATAGTGAGGGTGAAACGTCCAAAGAAGTCGACAAGTGAGTGCCGCCGACTCTTCTACCCACAGTTGCGCAGCCCCATCTCGCACTTCCAGCCGTGCACAAGTTACTAGCTGAGCTACAAAACTGTGCTGCAAACATCTTGCACAGTAGACCTCTTGCCTACCAACTACCACTTTTCCAGCCATCTGGATAGTCTTTTCAAAGAGATCAAACAATGAAACCCCCAACAGGATGGTGAAACGACCTTCGCCGAGTTCTTCGCTTACAGAACATCACCACTCAATATTCGGACCCACTAAGCTTGCCTCTTGTAGACAAATTTTAGGTAGTGATTTCTATTTCGATCGGAAATTTTTTGTTTGAATCGGGGCTTGCGTTTCGAATTTGATTGTCAAAATTAGCGAAAACTTTACGAACAACCCAACGAGGTAGTCTTACTAGAGCTCAGACTGAACACTACCTACTTCATAAAGTATTGGGTTGATGCATAATTATTGCGGCTTTTTTCAACAAATTTTATTCAAAGAAAACGATAAAGATATTTCAACAAAAACACGTTTAAATGATTATTCCGGAGCGTAGACACATCCTTCAAGAATGCTTCCCATTTGCTTGGCAGTAGGTCGATTCCACGGGTGGAGAAGTCACGATTCTTGGAGACGATCCACGCTCTAACCTCGGCCACCAAGTCATCCAGCTCGTCGTAAATTTTGTTCGTTTGCCAGTTTTTCAACGACTGATTGAAGTGGTAGTCTGTAGGAGCTTCGGTCGGTAAATGTGGCGTTTTGAACCTCGAACCATCTTTCAACTTGGCTTTTGCTAATTGTTCCCTCGCCGAAAAGTTCGTTGAGATCGCGAAATGACTCTGCCGCCTTCCAACCTATCTCTAAGTGGTAGAGCATATATGGCGTACGTGAGGATGATTTTCGATAAGGATTTTTGTTGATGAAAGAGAGTAGAATGCCATCATTGGAAAATATTAGGTTGGTCCATAAGTCTTGCAACAAATTACATTTAATGCTAGAAAATTTTTGTGAGAACTCCCAAAATTCCGCAACATATTTGTTGACGTAGCATCCACCTTTGCAATTTCAGCCAACGGTCCAGCTCGTTGTCTTCGCTACTCGTTATGTATTACACCGATTTCGCGAAAGGCTCTTCCTGCCTTCAATTCGTACGAATACTGCTTGGAATGTTCCGCAAGTCGTGCTACAACCAAGGATTAGCCAGAAGATGGGCGTGGGCACGCTCTCTTGATCCACGGTGTACCGGCGCTACACTCTCCTCAGCGATGGCTTTTTTTATTCGAAGATGATGCACACCCCAACCACCTGTGATCGGCAATCACCGATGCTCTACCTGACGCTGTTAAAAAGGGTCCGGATAGAGTATCGACAGGGAGACAGCACTGTGGCATCTCCACAGACTTCTGAAGATCCGAAAATACCGAGCTTAAGTCCAACATGCCTTGAGCCCGAATCTTCTGCAAACACCGTTGGGAAACCCCCAGACGGTGGAAGACTCCACCATTCTCGGCGCTGTCAAGAGGATCTGGACATTAGCCACCCGCAGCTTTGTGATAAGACTCGGGGTGAACCCATGATCCACAATCCTCGGTCCCAGGCTACATTTCGTGACTA